CACAGACAACCCCTCGACAATATGCGTTTTTGCATTGCATAGATGCAAAAAACGCATAAAAAGTAATAAAAATTTTCAAAATTTCTAGAAATTTGAAAAATTTTACGTCACAGAACCTAGGAAATTTTGCAGATTATTCACCTGACATATTTGGATAACATTGCGGACTTCCTCAGGACTTCGGGTAGCTTTAAACTGATACGTCCATTCAACAAGCGGCTGCAATTCCTCACCAACACGATTAACGTTTGCAATAAAAACGTCGACCGGTGAAATGACTGTACTTGCAGAAACTGTAGACGATGAAGAAAGCATCGGATCGGATGGTACTGTTTCGTGTGATGTAAACTGGACCATCGACTGAAACCGTGCTTTTGCTCAACATTTTAACAGTAACTTTGTTTTTAATGAATCCTGAACAGCACGCATTCCTGAGAGGGGATCACCGCATTTTTGTCCTTACATGAGACGTAGGGCTACGAGAAAAATAAGTCCGAATTTTCCGGGTAGTATATGGACGGGAGGCATCCTCCAAAAACTTTGATTTACTCTCTTGCTATGTTCCTGCATAAGCTTCAAGCCAAAAAAATTTTTTTTTCACGCTTACATCCGCGAAACCCAGGACATGCGGAAGTTGAGTTTGAATTTCCAAAACTGTAAATTAACACGGAATATTCTCCTGAAATTTTAGCTTCCTAGCTTTTCCGGTTGCTGAGTTAAAAACTGGGACAAATATCTGAATGCAGAGACAAGATCACAACAATATGAGTTTTGTACAAAAATGCACAAAAATGAAAATTCTAGATGCAGGGAATGAATCTTCGAACATATGGGCAGTTCTAAAATTATGTTTGTACTGAACAAACCGATACCCGCTTTCCCATCCGATCACTATCGTCCGCGCCTACATCTTCATCCATATGTCTGCTATCGTCTGTATCACGATCATCTTCATTATCTACGCGTCGTAATTGCCGAGCTTCTGCTTTTCCACTTCTTACAAGCTGCAAATATGTGCAAATAATCGTTAAAAAAATCAAATCAACACCAATAGTAAAAACAAAAATAATAACAGTAAAACAATAATAATAATAATA